GAGAGAGAGAGAGAACCATCCATCCTTTAAATGCCTTGGATCCCGTGACTGTGATGCCCAAAGGGAGCTGTAAACCCTGAAGCCCATTCATTACCCAGAGCCTAATGCCCAGAGCCCAATACAGCAAGTGCTGACCGTGCACGGGATGCTCATTGGGGGACGGCCCTTTACCCCGCGTTGTAGGACCACTCGGCGCCTCCTTATCTGCTTATCTGCTTATCTTCCCCGGATTAAGAGAATCTGGGGTCTGGGGTCTGGGGTCTGGGGTCTGGGGTCTGGGGTAAGGATAAGGTAAGGCTAAGTAAGGTAAGGCCAAGGCCAAGGCTAAGAATGAGGGGTAAAAGGACTGGCCATGGGAAAAGACGCCACGATCATCATCTCGAGAAGAAGAAAAACAACATAAATTCACAGCAACGGGCAGAGGACGTTGCAATAGATCAACGGGACTGGATTGGATTAGCTTCCCACGCCAGAGAAACACATACCTACCTGCCTTACCCAGAAAGGGCATGTATGTATGTATGTTAATACAGTAGGTATCCCCACGCCGACGAAACGAGGCTCCTCTAGAGCTAGCACCGGACTGGTGGCAGCGGGGGGCTTCTTAGATAGATACTACGTCGCAGGCGTAAGTATTACCCCTCGAGGGTAGGGAAAACAGGGGGTTTAAAGTGGAAACTAAACTTTTGAGACAGCCTCGAGGGGTAATACTTACGCCTGGGACGTAGTATCTAGCGGCCTTATGATAGCAGCAAGGCTTGCCGTCGCCCCACAAGTCAAAGGCAACGAATGCATGCATGCACTCAAATCTCTTTCGAAGGCCCTTGCATCACAACGCAGTAGGAAGGATAGCTTGTAGCCTGGAGAGGCGTGCGTCGGCTTCTCGTCCACCTCTCCTCCTCTGAGCACAGAGCAGCAGCGTAGCATCGCCGGTTCCAAAGCAATCAGCGCCAGCCCAGAGAGATAGGCAGGGCTGTGAGCATCCCGTGGATAGCTGCGCAAAAGCCCGGATCCGGATCTACGATGAACTCTCAGAAGCCCCGCGCTAAGTCTCCGAGTGCGTATCCTCTCGCGGAGCTTCTTCCTCGAGCATATTGCGTGTAGAGTCGGCGCTGGCGTGGCCCGTTGAGTGTGCTGGGTGGGCTGGCTGGGAGAGGAGGAGAACCAGAAGTCCGCCGAGGAAAAAAGTATCCAGTCTCCCCACTTCTCGCGGACGGCGGATTGCAGATCACGCCGTCAACGCTGCGGCATTGCAACTGCCTTCCAGCGACATCTTCGTGATTACCTCGGGGTAAAACAAGAAGCAACATTTTCTCTTCTCTCGTCTCTTCTTCTTCTTCTTCTTCTTCTACAGCAAGAAAAAATACAGTATCCCCCACCAAAAAACAAAAAAACAAAAAAAAAAAACAAGTGACTCGAAGCGTAAGCCTTAGCCGTAGCCTCCAAACCAGATTCATCTTCCGTCCAGCTCCAACCTCAACCTCAACCTCAACCTCAACTCCACCCCCAGCTCCGAAGACCACCCATCCTCCACCCACCCTCCACCCACCCTCCTCCCATCCCTCTAAATCTCTCTCTCTCCCCCCCCTCTCTCCCCCCTCTCCCTCCCTCCTCCTCTTCCTCGCCTACAGCACGAAACCATACCTGCCAGCCCACCACTTTTACAGGAATAGACCGAATCCACCAAACCAAGCCAAGCCAAGCCAAGCCAAGCCAAGTCAAGTCAAATCAAGCAAACCTGGTCTTCTCTTCTTTCTCCCCCACCTCAACATCAACGTCAACGTCAACATCAACATCAACATCAACATCAGTAACCAATCCGAATCCTAATCCACTCCCAATCGCAATCCAATCTCAATCTCAATCCCAATCCCAATCGCAGTCTCAATCTCAATCTCAATCCAATCCCACCTTCTCGTATATCTGTCGTATTATATATATATATATATATATATACATATACAAAATCGTCGAAATAACACACAGCAGGCAGAGAAGAATCTAGTTCGAAAGGCGGGGGTGTTTTTGAACTTGCGAATAACCCCCCC